CTCAAGCTGACTTGACTCTAAGAGTTCTACATCACACGACGCTTGATTGACAAATGGTCCAGTGGGACCTAAGGCTCCTTTTATAGCGCGCCTTCGTGTTTAACTGTTAAGAATGATTAGCATCCAATTTCTTCCAACAATGTCACCCCCAAAGCACACTTTAAGAATGTGAGAATAAAGGAAATGATCACCAACTAAAGAAGCTCTTGATTGTTATTATAAACAAATTCTCCTTGACCTCACCTTAGGAAATGCATAGAGTATAGTATAGAGAATGTGCATACTGGTGTTAGGGTAAAAAGAGTTAAGTCAATTGTGTATTGTAGTCTGACTCGATGATCTCTCTTGATTACAAATCAAAGCAATATATTTTAATGAAAGGCTATATCTTCTATAAAATGATCTTCCAGTAATTACCTGAAGCTTTCCTTGCTTGTTCTCGTCTAAAAAAGTATTTTAGAAGTTAAGGAACTTGCAACCCAAGCCATTTAATAAATAAATATGGATTTTCATCCTGCTTGTCTTTTGATCAGTTATGCAATAGTTTCCTTAAAATAAAAAAAACTGAGAAAAAAAAAATAGCGATAGAGTAAACACTGAATTGTGAATAGATGTAGAATTTCACTTCATTTAAAGATTCAAACAGAGTCAAAAGCACATAATTTTCTTTCTTCACATTATAGCAGAGAACACTAACAAAGTGAACCAAAACAAATTGGTTTTTAAAGAAACCACTGTGCTGCAATCAAGCAGTGAAATTGATCCCATTGAAGGTTAAACTCACTGTCATAAGGATACAGATAGTTGGCTTCCAATTCAAGGAAGTAAATCTGTTGTTGTAGATTCCTAATGTACTCATTTTCAATGTTTCCAATTTCAGCTGTGGAAGACGAAGATCTTACATGATTTCTAAAGGAAAACAAAAATATAATCATATCAGAAGGTTAAAATACCGTGCTCTCATCCTACAAGGCTTCAAAAAAAAAGATCCATGTGTTATTATCGAACAGAAAATAAACCCTTTCAATCCCAAGATCTCATCAGTAAATCATCATCTTATTAGATGTTTTGTTGTGTAGTATCGCTGAGTATTTTTACGAGTTGTGCCGTATTTTGATGAGCCCATAGGGCGAGTCAAAATACAAACAACCAGTAAAAATACTCAGTGATACTACGCAACAAAACATCTAATAAGAGATTTATTGTCCAACACGCCAAATTGTTATTTCAGTGTGGGCAAATTTTGCGGAAATTTCTGGAGTACAAATATCGCATGATATTTGTACTGGTCTCGCGTGTTATTTGTACTCTACGAAGCACAACTGGATAATAATTCTCCTTATTGTCTGCCATACAATTCTTATTGTGTTATTTCTAAGAATTTGGTTTTGGATCAAGTTAGAATCCTCTAATTGATATTAATTTTTTCTTTATTCATGTAACTTTTCTGCTTGATGTTGTTTTGAAATTCTCAAGAGAAATTCTGTCTTGGTTGCTCATGCAAGGCTTAATCCGAAGGACAAAGTACAAGAAACAAGCAAATCAACTCCACCAACAATCTCTTTTCCCAAAGCATATTAGAATAACCAAAGATAAAGAAACATAGTCTATTGGTTAAAAAAGGAAAAAAGTCCATGCGGTTTTACATGTTCTACTTTATATCTCATTCTAGTAACAATCAACTTGTTAAGTTATTAGTATATCTATATGAAAATATCTGATTGAAAACTACCTTACATGAAGGTGTTAATTTAATGTGCATTACAGAGCCAGTATATAATTAATTAAACCAAATTAAAATTAATCACAAAAAAGTAACTTTGGAGATAGTTTGTCAGCAAATTTACAATTAAATACGACGCTTATCTCACTTTATGCAGATCTTCTATTAAAATTTGTTATACATGTCTTCAATAAAATAGTGGTCTGTTGAAAAAATGCTAAAATTCGTCTCTTGGATAAAATTTGTCTCGTTCGAAGATTGGCATCCTTAATTTTCCATCTCGGCAATGAATATCGGTCATGAAGTTTTGTTTTTAAGAGAGTCAAGTCAGCAAGTTGTTATTTCTAAATAAAAAAAGTTACTTTGGCGTGAATCCAAGACACACACATGAAAATAACTCAAGATCTAAGAAGCCGGGCAAGCATCCACTAATAGTTGTAGCAACTGGGGAATGTATAGAATTGGCTAAGGTGAGCTATACGATATTTTGAACCGTGTGCCTCAGTAGAAATAAAACTCGATACGACCGCAGCAACAAATTGCAACAGCAGCACCTAAAAAGTTTCATTCTACATACCTCGATTTGGAATCAAACGAAGCAGCTAAATGTTGGTTTTTCCCACTTGATTTACCAAAGCTTCCAGAACGGCGTAGATTGTCGGGTGCGCTGCTCCTTAATGGAGAAGCTGTTCAGGTGAAAAAAAAAATTCTGTTGAAAAAAATTTTTCTCTTTTATTCGCATATATATATGAGAAAAACTTACCAGATCTTGCTCCTTTAGACCTCACAGACGTCGCCATGGATGTGACAGAGGTACAACCAATACAACAACATGAAAGATGGCGTCGCGTAACCACAGAAATTCTCCGCTGACCTATTCCGAAGGCGCAGTAACAGGATACTTGCTAAGGATCATGGGACTCTGCTACATAAGAACAGGTGAAAGTCAAAGGATGAGTACGAGTACGAGTGAGCGGGGTTCGTTAGAGCGAGAAGCAAGGAGACTCGCGAGGAAAAGTAAAGGGATCATTCTCCCACGCTTGCCTTACGCGCGAATACGGACTCTTGTTTCAACAGCACTTCATTCGCTCCGACGAAGGGCTAACACTCGAAACGTCAGCTTTTGTAATCGTTACGATGGCCAATTTACTATTTCAACTTTGTTGATATATCCAAATTATTTCGTTACTCCCACCGACGCAGCCCCAAACAGTTTCTTTCGAAACTATCAGCCTTTCTTCAAAGAGAAAGATCAGTTTATAATAAAAAGTTGAAATAGCTGTAGGAGACGATGGGAGGGGGGGTAGGGAGGGAAGAGAAAGGTGAAAGACCGGCTCATGCAGTTTTTGGTTGTCTTATTTTGATTGATCGCCATTAGCGGGCGATAAAGTGTAATGGAAAATCCTATTTAAGGCTTATTGATCCTCAACTTCTGCTGCTTTTCCCATGTTTTCGTAGATCATTATTAATTTTATTACACTGTTCGACTCTGTTTGAATAGAGATGAGGAATAGCCGCAACAACGAATAAATTAAGGAATTTTCATTTATGTAATAAAAACCAAAAGGGACTTTTGGCTTCCTAGAAAAACTTGTGAGTTAAAAAAAAGCTAGGAAGCCAAGTTCTTGTCCTACTGCCTTTATTTTATTTTAACAATTCCATTTTTTTTTTCTTTTTTTTTATGTTTAATGTCAGAGGAATTAAAACCAGGCAGATGTTTGAATGAGTTATAATTATAAATTCTCCCTACAACGACATAACACCGTGTTCCAATTAGGTATGAAGTAAGTAAGGATTAATCAGCTATGGTAAGCGTCCAAAATTTTGTTTTAAATGTTTGAATTATTGCTGTAATGTCATTTTTTTAATAGAACGCCAGTGAACGCCTCACAAAACTATAAAAACTATTTTTTAGCTTTGTCGTCCTATACATCGATTTGTTTGCTTTGATAGTCTTGCACAATGAAAAGTTATAAATATATTTATCATGCGTTTCCGTGATCGAAAAATAACAAAGTGATCTGTCTAGCGAGTAGCGACAAGACTCGTATTTAGAACGAGAATATGCCGCATTTTCTGCGAAAGAAATGTACTGAGAGTTTGTATTTAGATAGAAAGAACGATATTTAGAAAGAAAAAGGCTTCGTTCCAGTGAAAAGTGTCGCTTTGTTTTGAACAAAAAAATTTAACCGTTTAAAATTTTATAACTTCCAACTCTGGGTACACTCGTGTTCAGCGCATGCGTGTGCCAAAGTTGTCATACTTGTCAACACCAAAACGCAACGGTCTGCAAGGAAAAAAATTACATTTCGCAGGGGGAACGATGAATAACAATCTCGTGAAGCATGAAATTGCTCTCATCAATGGAGTGGCAACAAGAATATCCAGTGCAATGTCTACAGAAGAAAATATTTGCATCGTTGTAATCCCTGGTAACCCAGGTGGCATTGGCTTTTACGATATTTTCATCTCGACGATGTTTCAAGCGGGAAAAGGAAAGTGTTCTGTTTATGGTGTTTCGCATGCAGGTAGGAGTCAAACAACACTTTATAAACAATGCTATAACGAAAATGCTGCTTGAAACGCCTTGGGCAAATCGAATAAGTGAGAATGTTTTGATCGATTTCAATGGTTTTGTTTATATTGATTCTTCTCAAATTATAACCTTCATTTCATCATCCAAAATGATAAAGCTTTTCTTCCTAGGCAAGTGTTTTTTTAGATTTCAATTCCATTCACTTTTTTGCGACAGAGTAGTCGAATTTTGAAACCGTCGGCATACACTTCAATTTGAGTAAAATCCGGCCATCTGCTATAAACTCAAATCTGAAGGGAAATCCATTAAAAAACAAAAAGCCACAGCATGCTAACAGCTTCCGTTACTACCTCCTAAACGAAGCTTTACTTTTTTTCTCCTCAAAAAGTTAAAAACTAACGAATGTCTTCCATGAAAATGTGATGGAAACGTGAAAATCTCCCGAGAGCGTACGATATGTCGCTAAAAAGTTTGATGGGTTTGTTTTCTATTTCGCGTCAGATGTCACTTTCAATTACACGATTTGATTTTAACTGATATAGGTGCCATGAAAACGACAACCTTGTCTCTGTTGTATAAGTAAAGAACAGAATTATCTCTACAGTTGTGTTTTCTGTTTTGTGTATTTTTTTAGCATGAGGAATATCTTTTTAATTAAGGGTGCTCTTTGGTTGAAGGATTCAAACTCAAACTTACGATTGATTGCGTTATTTCATAATTGGCGGAGGTGCAAAAACGTATGAAAGATTTAAGATTTATCGTTCGACGACAAACTATGTCCATTTAAGCGTGGTATGATGGCGCTGAAAATGACTGGAAAGATAGTCGACTTTATTTTCTCACCTCAAAAATCTGAATGACGATTTTAAGAAAACAGCTCATAAGAGTGTAAATTTGAGAATCGGATTGTCCATCAGATCAAAACACGACGATATTGCTGAAAAATTAATTAAGAAATGTCAAATTATACAAATAATCCATATAAATCACATTGTGAAAGCTTAGCAAAAACCAACATTCAAGCAAAAACCAACATTCCAAATTCCAACTCGATCTGGAACAGTGGACAAGAATAGCCACCCAGTGGATGTCCATTGTTAAATCATTATTTATTTATTTATTTATTTATTAATTATTTATTTATTTAGATGTATGGGTACTCGGTCAGAACAACACTCATACGCAGGAACGTTGTACTGTCCTGCAAGGATCTTCGTAAAACTTCTGTGTTATTTTGAAATTCTTTCCATTGTTATATTAGATTTTGTAGTGAGATATAAAATGCTGCTCTTCCATTTTCCAAAATTCAGGCCCTTTTACCACAGTCAGTCCTGCCTCTCAAAGAGTTTTTTTTTTTTTCTCGCGAAACTAGTGAACGCAAAATATAGTCGAAAGTAGCATGCCCGGCTTACCACGGAATTGCTATAATTAATATGATATGATGTTTATTCAAACCTTTTGCAGAGAGCTGAATTACAGGTTTGTTACAATGAGATGTTGTTAAGGTTGAGAACAGACGTTGGCATTTTCTCAGGTGCCTCTGGCAGCCGCTTCAGTCCATATCGATCTCACCTTCCCAC